TCTCTGTTATGTGTGGTGTATGTCTACGTGCCAGTGCGAAGTCAGGAAAGGATGCTGGGTGTTGTGGAATATTGTTTTAAAATGTGCTACATTTGTTTATGTTGTGGGATATTTGTTTAATGACGCAAAGGTGTGTTGCATTCTTTTATGTCACATTTGTCTAACTCTGTGAAGCCATGATTCTTTGCCTGTCTAAAACACCTGAAGGTCTAATAAAGAGCTGAATGGCCAATAGCGAGGCAGGAGAAAGGATAGGCAGGGCTGGAAGGCAGAGAGAATAAATAGGAGGAGAAATCTGGGAAGATGGAAGATTCAGGAACAGAAAGAGGAGAGAGGACTCCAGGGGCCAGCCACCCAGCTACGCAGAAAGCTACAGAGTAAGAAGAAAGGTATACAGAAAAGTAAAAGCCTGAAGGCAAAAGACAGACAGGGTAATTTAAGAAATTCAAAACCTTTCTGAATTTAGTGAGAGACACACACACACTCTAGAGGTAGAAACAAGCCAAGCTAAGGCCGGGCATTCATAAGAAGGGATGTCTTCATGTATTTATTTGGGAGCTGGGTTATGGGCACCCAAAGAGCAAAGAGTAAAGAATAATAATAATAAAAAAAAGAACTACATTTTGACACTCAACATGGGGCCTAAGGAAGCCTTTAATCCCAGCGCTCAGGAGCCAGGGGCAGAGGCACACGGATCTGAGTTCAAGGCCAACCTGCTCTACAGAGTTCCAGGATAGCCAGGGCTACACAGAGAAACCCTGTCTTGAAAAACAAAACACCAAAGATTTAAAAGCGCTAGGATTACAGATGTGCTACGAGGCTGGCCCTTGGTTCTAAATGTTTCTTCCCTTCAGACTCCGCAAGCAACTCTCAGAAGGAGCTGTCGTGAAAAGGACTGAGCTCAGGCTAGGACTGTAAAGGCTGGTTCCGTTTTAGCGGTTCACAACACCTCTGTCTGGGAACCATCAGTGGCACAAGGGAGGGAGGTGTTTCTAGCTCCTGCCTTCACCTGGCTTTCACTTCCTTCCTTCCTTCTTCCCTCCCCCTCCTCCACTTCTTTTTTTGAGACAGGGTTTCTCTGTATTGATTTGGAGGCTGTCCTGGAACTCACTCTGTAGATCAGGCGGACCTCTAACTCACAGAGATCCGCCTGCCTCTGCCTCCGGAGTGCTGGGATTAAAGCGGGGGTGGCTTTGTCACTTCTAATGGGAAGAGGAATAAGATGAGGGAGGAAGTCTACTCGATAAAAGCCTTGCTAGCCTTAGTGTCCCTTCTCACAACTCAGGAGCTAGAGAGCACAGGCGCAGGCGTTGTTAATCTTTTACCAGAAGGAGGGCCCCAGGCTCTGACGTCTTCTAAGTGACATGGAATAGGGCTTCCTCCGGTTTGCTCAGTCCAGGAGTCCCAGGAAATGGAGAAGCTGGGGCCAGAAAACCCTAGTCTAGAATGTTGGCTGACTCCTAGGACGTGCAGCCAGGGACTTTTTGAAAGTGTTTATTCTGGCCCCACCCAATTCCATCCAGTCCCCAGCTGTCTGCGGGCTCGGGATGGGGGCGGGAGGTGCACGGTTCTCGGTGGGTGCGTTGAGGTCTGCAGAAGACCCTTTTGACGCTTGCTCTATCTCTGCTTCTGGGCAACCCTGGGCCACCCCTTCGTCCTCCGGGAACGCAATCGCCTGCTCAGCGTTCCCGAACCAGAGAGAACCGGACGGCGCCGGGTTCCAGTAAGGGCCCCGGGAGCCCTGAGGTCCCGCTAGTTCCTGGCTCG